TGGCAGGTGGGGTGATGAATAAGCGGAGGGCCTTCAATGGCCGAGAGTTGTGTGGGAGGAAGCTGTCTATGTGGACTAGGATGTTGGTACGTTTGGTCTTTACTGGCCTTTGTCCCAGGTTGGAGATGGAAAGCTGGTTGGGTGGATGTGTGGGTGTGGCCTTTCTAGGCGGAGAATTTGTCGGTGTTGGTATGGGCTCAGGTGTTTAAGATGTTGGTATGTGTGGTCTTTACAGGCCTTTGTCCCAAGTTGGACATGGAAAGCTGGTTGGGTGGATGTGTGGGTGTAGCCTTTCTAGGTCGAGTATTTGCCGATGTTGGTATGGGCTCGGGTGTGTAGGTGGGGTCTTTACAAGTCGTTGCCCCAGATGTATTAAGGGATAACCAACTGAGTGATGTGTGTGGGTGGCCTCTCCAAGCCGGAAGAGTGGAAGGTATGGATGTGTGATCGATCGGTAAAGACTGATTGATTCTGATACTGAGATTGAGTAGTGGACGTACGTGAACTGTGAGTGTGTTTATGACTGTAACTACGAGTGTGGTAGGAGTATTTCAGTGTTAGTAGGAATAAGCAGTATGTGCAATTGATTGGATATATGTAACGAAATTCTAGGGAAATGGCCATCTTAGGACAGAGATGGGAGAATGGATGGGTGGGAGTGAGGGTTTAAGTGAGGAGTGTTGGGGTGGAAAATTTCTTAGTTTCTATACTGTAGTTTTAAGTTTTATATTTTTTTACTAAACCTATTGATGTTCATTACTGTTGTTTTTAAATGTGTTAGATTCGAAGTCGAAATCAGAATGCATAGCAATAGAGTCTCATACTTAAGTAGGAATGCACGCAAGTATAAGATGCTTATTTTGTACACATTAATGCACACACTGTACCAATTTTGAAATTATAGTTGTTGTAATATCGAACTATGCGAATTGATTATGTAATGGACATGAGGTGATTATTACTTTTGAATAATGAAATGATAAAAATTTGTTGCATGATGGAGAAAATTCTTGAATTGTAATGCCTCATGCTACACATGTTTTGGCTGAAATGGTTATGTTTGAATATTGATTAAATTTTAAAGCTATTTATGTAGATGATGAGATACAAACATATTTTTAAAAATTGATAATTTTCTTTTTCTTAAATAGAGGTTTCAGAAATTTAATATAAAATATATTTGTATATACGGTGGTATCAACATTTAAATACATTTTTTTTAAGAAAAAATAAGTAACATGAGATAATTTTTTTAAAGCTATTTTCTTATATTGTCAATAATGACATTTAACTATATTTAATATTTTAATACTTAAAACTTAAAAATCTAATATGACAGATATAACCTAATATATATATATATATATGTTTATATTATTCTTTACCCATAATAGAAGACATCATAGATTACTCATATTTTGATTAGATGACATAATATATGATGTTTTAAAAATAATACCAATGTTACCATCCTCCCTTAATTCTATGTTAATTTAGTTATCATAAAGTTTTTCAAAGACTTAATTTTAGCTCTCATGACTTTTAAAGTTTTAAACTTTATTCAAAACTTAGAATTTGTCCACTTTTTTCGAAACCCAATGATCCACATTTACCATGGCTTCAAATAAAAGTTCATTTTTTTTCTCTTTTCTCTAGATACATGATCTATATATATAATTAAAATATAAGACCATGAACGTATGATCATGTGCTTAAAGGTCAATAATCAAATATAATTTTGTATCAAATTAAAATCATAACATAAGATTTATTGAGCATACCAAATTTGAACTTTTTTTCTTATGTCAAGAAATATATAAATCTCTAATTAATTGAATATATATATATATATAAAACGTATGTCGACCCATTAATTAATTAAACAAAAAAAGAAAAGATAAACAAACTCATTAATTCCCAATCCACTAACAAAGCGAACCCATGTGCTTTGATTGGGAAATTAAATAGTAATTAATCAAAATTTATGAGCACTTAATGATTAATCAAAAGGCTTAAATATTCTAATTTTTATTAAATTAATCACCACATGCTTCTTCACTTTTGATCCCGAGGGAGCAAGACGAATATTTCCTCATTATCGTGGGCCCACTTTCCTCCCTTCCTGATGGCCACCCACCGTCTGATCAGATTAGTTTTTTAATCACGTCACTCAGATTGGTCAATCCCATATCCAACCCACTTATACCATTACATACACGTATACAGACACACAAATTACATATATTAGGTTAATACAAACACGAATATAATACAGGCGAAGAACATCAAAACAAGTTTGTGTAGATAAAATTAAATATAAATTATTAAATTAATCTTAAATTTAACATTTACTATAATTTAATTTCTAATATTTTTATTACAATTCAGTTTATAATATTTTATATTTATTTTAAATTGTCTAATTTTATTTCATTTTTAACTAATTAATTAAATTAATAAATTATTAATAATATTATATCTATTTTTCTTTTAATTAATTAATTAAAAACATTATTTGTATTAGCTATATATATATATGTATGTACCCAAAAGAAAAAAACAATAACAGAGAAAAATAACACAAAATTTTTACCTATATATTCATAATTTATACCTAAATTACAATTATTATGTACGTAATTAAATTCATAATTACATGTAAAAATGAACATTATTATCATAGATTTAAAAAAATGCAATAACTAAAAACAATGATTAAACCCATGATTTAAATATATTAATATTAAATAATTAATTAATTAAGAAATTGACTTCTCAACTTAAATAAATAAATAAATAGATATACATATACATATATATATTAATTAATGTGGTGCTGTTTAAAGGAATATTTATTTTTTACAGTTCGGGAGTCAAATCAAAAAAAAAAATTATAAAAAAAAAAAGAAAAAGACAGTGAAAGACATAAAAGAATTCTATATAAAGTGAAGATTATAATACATTATTTTGACATGACATCCCTCTTCACACATATACATATATCCATATATATACACACATACATAATAATATAAATATATAAAATAACTTGAAAATACAAATTTCAGCACTTTTTTATTTAAAAGGGTATTTGAGTAAATTCATATTTATTTATAAAATTCATGTACTTGTACATTAAACTAAAAGAATAAAATAGAATAAAAGCATATAAACCTAGGCATTATTAATGTACCGTAATGTTTCTTATATATATATGTGTGTGTGTGTGTGTGTATATATGTATATATAATAATAATATTAGTATTATTATTATATGGGCACAACCCAAATTTCGAAATTCACTTGTAAACTTCGCACGTGCAAGGTCCACATTCATAATTTTGCAATTAAATGTATTTTGATTTTGACCATGTTTAAAATCGACCAACCCAATTATCACCAATATTTCGATTTTTGGACACAAACCAAAGTGGCATCACATCACATCAAACTCATTGGGAAGGTTAACCGATTGTTGGGTTGGTCACCTTTGTTTTTGTGGATAACATAAGTTATATAGTATATATATATATATATATATATGTATGTATATGCATAATATATACATATAGTTACAATTTCTAGCAACTATAGCTAAACCCCATTTTTGGATTGGCTTGGCTTGACCTAATTGTTTATGTAAGAAGTAAAAAAGTTTTTTTTTTTTTTTTAAAAAAAAACTACTACTTGTTTGACTTTTAATTTTATAGAGTAAAAAATATAAATTAAAAAAAAAACATGATACAAATAGGTTAAAAATTTTAAATAAAAACTATATTTAAATTTATTGGAATAATTTATTAACCCATTTGAAATTAAATAACTTATAATTTTTCATTTAACATGTAAAAATACACATTTATCCTTCTAAAATTAAAGATAAAAACCAAGTTGGTTAATTTATATACTAAAGTTTATAATCATATGCTAAAAAGTATAATTATATATAAATGGGTTGTCTTCTATACATATAATAATGAGAATGGTTGAAAAAGGTGGTTGAAAAAGGAAAATGAGATTATATGTAGACAAACAAATACAAACATAATCAATTTAACTTGTCTCACCAAGAACAAAAATAGGAAACAGGCACACACACATATATATATATATATATATACACACACACACACACATACATATAAATATATACATATATAAAAGGTGGGAGATCCCACATGAATATAATCCTTTATTCATCATTATTGAAATCTAGATGCATTGAATTTCAATTGTGGGTAAGAGTATAAATTAAAGTTTTTTTCATATTTAACTAACTTAATAACTAAGAAATATTATAATGGAATATTTAAAAATATTTAAATAATATGAAAAATAATTTATCTGTTTAATTTAATTTAGAAACACAAAGAGACAGAAGTAGGAAATTAGGGATTTTAATTAAGCTGAAAATCGGCTTAATACAAAGCTAACCGAACTGGCTTGTTTGGTGGGTGTTTGGAAGGTACTGGGTGGCTACCAAACAGCAACGCCATCTTGGTGTGAACAATTTTTTATGGATTCAGGATATTTATATTTAAGTAGCCAATCACCCCTCTTCTCTTTCTATCTCAAAAAAAAAAAAAAAAAAAAAAAAAAAAAACCAGTTCTCAATTTTTAAAAAATCAACAATGTTTTAAATTAATCATCGTTTAATTCATAATAACTCAATAATCTGAAAAGAAACAAGCTTCTCCTTTTTCCATAAATATAATAAGTTATCCTCTCCTCTCTGCTACATCTTTTTTTTTTTTTTTTGTTTCCTGTTGTTTCTCTTCTTCTTCTTCTTCTCTGGTTAATTATGAAAAGCAACGTGCCTTGGGGGTTCTACTTGTCCGCTCCGCCATTACCACCAAAAATCTTCTTTTTTTCTCTTTAATTAATAATCTTAATCAGTGTCGTCGTTAAGGAAAAAAACCCAATTAAACCCAAGTCAGTTTCCCCTTTGGTAATATAGTAACAGCACATTTTCACCTTCTCCCACTAAACTATCATTACTTTAATCAAACTCGCATTATAAACACGCAAATTGATGTATAATACCTCATACCCACATCACATCTTCTCTCATTTTCTGAGAAATTCTGTCTCACCCTTGAAGTAAAGCGTCCTTAGCTTTATTTTTTTTTTGGGGTTCTTGCTTTTATTATTCTCTCTTTCTCCAGTCGCTTTTTCTTCTTTCTCTTTTATTGTTTCTGGGTATTTGTGCTTGCATTGAGATCTGTTAAGAAATGGGTGTCTGTCAATTAGCTTGCATTGATTCAGAAAACCCAAACAATGGCGTGAATGCTTCACGCATTACTACAGGAATTGCAGATCACTACTGCGACTATAATGAGTTGAAAATCAAGTCAATCTTGAGAAAAATGATTTTGGATTTTGGGTTCTCCTGCGTTCTCCCTCCCCGTGGGAGCTCTGGAAAGAGCCGCGGTGACAAGAGCTCGACCGAAAATGGGACGCGGCATGTGGAGCACAACAAGGCGTGGCTGCTGGCGGAGTCTGGTGGCGGCGGAGCAGAGTTGGCAAATGCAGAGCCGCAATCAGTTCACTCCTCTTTCAGGTTCAGTTTTTGCTCTCAGGTTGAACTTGAATCCATGAACATGAGCTCTTCTGCTTCTGCAACTGTTTTGATGGTGAATTTGGATAGCGGGTTGAATGAGGCAAGAACCCAAGAGCTAAAATGGAGGAGAATGCAGTCTCTGGAGAGAAGCATATCTCCAGTGGCCAATACTTTGGTCAGATTCAGTTATGGTGAAATTCTTGCTGCTACTCGTAACTTTTCCGAAGGTACTCTAATCTAAAGCTTGTTACTTTTTAATCCCTCTGGTTCCCACTGATTTGGATTTGTGTTGAAATTTTACCCTGGTCTTGTTTTCTGTGAATTGATAGCTAGAGTTTTGGGAAGAGGCGCTTTGAGCTTTGTTTTTAGGGGAAAAGTGGGTTTTCTGAAGACTGCTGTTGCTATTAAGAGGCTGGAAAAAGAAGATAAGGAGTCACCCAAGGCCTTTTGCAGAGAACTGATGATTGCTAGTTCTCTTTGTAACCCAAATATTGTGCCACTTCTAGGATTTTGTATTGACCCAGAAGAGGGTTTGTTCTTAGTCTACAAGTTTGTTTCTGGTGGAAGCTTAGAGCGCCATTTACATGGTATATTCTGTTTTTGTGTGTATTGGAAAATTTTATTTGGTTCTAGTGAATTTTACTGATTTTTGATCTTTCTTTTGCAGAGAAGAAAAAGAAGAAAGGAGTAAAGGGTGGTTCCCCACTTCCTTGGTCTGCAAGGTATAAGGTTGCTTTAGGGATTGCAGAGGCAGTAGCATATTTACATAATGGAACTGAAAGATGTGTTGTTCATAGAGATATTAAGCCATCTAATATACTTCTTTCTTCCAAGAAAACACCAAAGGTAAGAAATATATGCTTTAATATTAGGCCTTTCAGTTGGAAGTGTTGCAGGGTGCAGATTTGTAAATTCACTATTTTTGCATTTATGGTGATTGCTTGCAGCTGTGTGATTTTGGATTGGCAACTTGGACTTCTGCACCTTCAGTTCCATTTCTCTGCAAAACTGTAAAAGGAACATTTGGGTATGTTTTAAAGGATCGAAGATGAGGAAACAAAATATTTATCTTGTTTGCTTGTTTGGTAAAAATCTATATTTTTCACATATGGAAATTGGTCTTGAATTTGTAGTTATTTGGCTCCTGAGTACTTCCAGCATGGAAAAGTATCTGATAAAACAGATGTTTATGCTTTCGGAGTCGTCTTGCTTGAATTGATAACCGGAAGGAAGCCAATTGAAGCGAGAAGGCCAGCAGGGGAAGAAAACTTGGTCTTGTGGGTAGGTTTTTTGGGTTAAATTCTCTACCATTCATTACTTTGACTTTCTTGCAGTAGATTGAATTTGCCTTCTTTCCCTATTAGCCTCCATTGATTACAAAACATTGTCAATAACCAAAATGCATAAACTACCTGCTGAAAATGACCCCCTTGATAAAAAACCGTAATTCTTGTAGTGGTACGAAGATCGCATTTGCTTGACTCGCACCTACTCTTTTAACATATTTATGTTAGGTAATTAGTTACGTATTAGCGTATTATCGTAGGTCGTGGTTAGTTGGATTTTCAGTTGGAAAACAATAATCATGATGAAATCTGTTCGGTATTTGTTTTGTTATTACATTTGCTTATGTTATATCAAAATTGTAACCATTTATCTAAATTTCTCTTGCAGGCAAAACCCTACTTGCACAAGGGGATGGGCGCTGTCGAAGAGTTGCTGGATCCATCTCTTAAATGCACTCGAAAAAATTTAGCTCAAATAGCTAGGATGATTCAGGCTGCTGCTGCATGTATAAGCAATGAAGAATCTCGAAGACCAGGAATCGAAGAAATTATTGGCATACTAAGAGGTGAAGAAGCACCAATCTACTGTAATCGGAAAAAATCCAATTTTTCTGGAATTATTGATTGCTATCCACAATTACAACAGACGAAAAGTGAGATGAGGAGTCACTTAGCTTTGGCAATGCTAGGAGTTCCAGATTTTGAAGATGACGATCATCTTTATTGTCGTTGAAACTGAAACATACTGGAGCTGGCCATCTGATTTTCTTTCCGTTTTCTTTTTTCTTCCGGGTTTTGTTTAGTGGTGGCGTTTCTTGAAAAAGAAATGGTAGGTAATTAGAACAGAAAGGGGTTGACAGTGTAAATAGGAAATGGAGTCTTGATTTGATCAGTGATTATTTGTACAGATCTTTGAATATTTAGCTTCCCTTCTGCTCAGGGAAACTCTGATATGATTTTTCATTTCAGATTGGAGCAAATGTCAAACAATCTTGTATGTCAAGGTTGAATTTGTGCTTTTTTGTTGCACATTTTCTTTTTCGTAGTATGAACTCGTTTATTTAAAACCAAAATCAAATAAATCTAACGATAAGCTCCACGTTATTCCACACAACTTTTTTTGGAAAATCATGGATCTTGTTTAGAGGTTCCCATGTAACAACCATGGCTATGCTTGAGAGAGAAGAAAAGTGAAGAGAAATAAAACATAATTGAGAGAAAAGCACTTGAGAATTTTGCTTGTTGGGGAAGAAAATATGACTTCTCTCATTTTTCTCTTGGCTTATAAGAGGAGAGAAAGACTGGTCTTGGAAATTATTTGACAAATACAAACGTTTGATCAAAGTACTGTATAGAAGATAACTAAACATTACACTCTCGGACAAAATCGAATTAAAGCAAACCGTAATAATTAAAATGTGATTTGTTGCTAAGAGAACGTAGTTCGAATAGCATAATACTTTCGTATAAAAGTAAATAATTCGGGTTGAAATCTTATTTCTCATTCTTATCTCAACAAAAAAAATATAATTTATAAAAAATTTTTATAATCATAAATTGATAATTCGAGTGTTCTAATTGATAATCAGTTCATGTTAACTTGCTAATTGTTTTATAATAAAAACGAGAAACCACCTCTCAGTACAATAAAAATTATCAAAAATAAATAACCCAAATCAAAAATTGAAAACAGTAATAATGATAATTAAAAAAGAAGAGTGTGTAAAAATGGTTATAGAAATTAGAATATCTTGGCTACATCCTTCATGAGGCCACGGTTAGCACTGGCGAAGTCTGTGAATTCCTGGTAGGAAATGAAGCCATCACCATCTGTATCAATCTCTGCCATCATCCGCTTAATTTCTTCGGGTGTGACAGACCCAAGTGTCTTAAGGGCATCCCCGAGCTCGGTCGCAGAGATCTTGCCATCTCCATTTGCATCGAAACGCTTAAAGATACGGTCACGCTCTGCCTTCTCATCGTCAGCCATTGTAAATATTCAAAGGGAAAAAAAAAGGGGAGAGTAGTTTGGTTGTTATTGAATTTGGAATTGGGAGATGAAGAGGTTTAAGAGCTATGGATTTTAAAGAGACAAATAAGGTTGGCCTTCAAATTCGGAGTGGTGCCTACAAGAATGTTTCACCATTAAAACTGTAACTCAACTGTCCCTAAAATTAGTGTAGCTAAAAAAGAGGAGCATGACCCTGTCTTGTCTTATCTATTTATTTTGGAAAATTGAAATGCCAAGTTTCTTGGCCAACAAAGACTGATCTAGCTGATAAAGGGAGTGTTATAATATTATTAAAGTCTCATTTTAACATGAAATAACAAGTTATAATTATTTCTACTGAACACATTTATAAATAAATACAGGTTACAGACTTGTATTGTCTAAATACTTGAATGGCTTACTAGAAAAGTGCAGCAGTTTACACTTTTCAAGAGCTAACATAGTTTATAAGCTTGTAAAATTTATTATAAACCAGACACCATCTTACCCACCCAACTCAAAAGTTGAGGACAAAATTATCCATCACATTATTCGCTGTTGTATCTCCCTATAAAAGTAATTTACAAAATAATTATCTTGTTAGATGGGTTATTTTTATTCAACATTTTGGGGGGTGAATATTAAATTAACAGATCAAGATAACTCCTAGAGGAAGAAGAATGACTAGGATACATATTTAAATAAAACTAATCCTGTACCCACACAAGCATGGTTGTTTGTTGATCCAGGAACTGTCAGGGAATGGAGATGCTTTTACCTAATAATAAGATTGTGAAGGAAGAGTTATGCTCCAGACTTTAGAATGACATTCAACACAGCTTCTTTTGTCGGCAAAGCTGGGATTGCACCCCTCTCCATCCCAGTCAATGCACCACAACCATTGGCGAACTTAAGAGCTTTTCTCAGTCGATCCTCGTCCTGTAAAATTCAATTCTATGTATCAAAAGCTCATATAAAAGATCTTCATATTGTTGTACAAGAGGAGGTAAAAGAAGAANNNNTAATACCTTAATCATGAGAAAGTAGAAGTTAACCAACAATTCTCTTTAGATCTATAACTTACCCCAGCGTGGAAGTTTTCAATTTGTTCAATGGAAAATCCATTTCATTGAACTTGAAGAACTCAGTATAATTGTTATCCATATTCCATATTTTTCCTATCAACTTCCCCTGCTCATGTGCCAAATACGAAAGAAAATAAGTCCCTATCAAATTATATTTGATTCTTGAGAACTACCTTAACATGGAAGATTCTTTTCCAGAAAAAGTTAGATTACATTGGAAGCAGCTTGAGGAAGCTGCATCAGTAATGAATTTCCCAGTGAAAATCAATGCAGCTCAAACAAGCAATCAGATCAGAATAGTGAGTTCTTCCAAACATAATGGAGAATGACTTAATAATGATGACTCTGACAATATGCAGATGCCATATAGGGGAACTAGGGTTTGTCAACTTGGAAGAAGCATACTCATCCAAATTGGAATGGCAAATACCTGAAGCAAGGAGAGATCAACAGCTAGTTGTGATAACATTCCAGCAACAAAAGCATCACCAGCACCAGTCGTGTCCACAGCATTTACTTCGAATCCCTTAACTCTCCCGCTAAACTCCTGCACAAAGTATGACAAAGGACAAAATTAGAGAAAACTGTGGAACAAAACAATAACTATATCATGACCAATTCTCAAAATACTAGCTTGACAATCTAAAGATTTTTTTTTTTTGAGATAAACAATCTAAAGAATTATGAATTTTTTTATCACTATGATGCGGTAGACCAAGTAAATATAGTTTACAATTTACAGCATTTTTATGGAAAACATAAAAGCTAAATCGCATGTCCACCAGAAAAAATAATAATAAAAATAATCTCTTCAAATATAACTTCGCAGGAGGTTTAAAAGTGGTTTTTAAATTTTAGAAATAAAGAATCTTCTAAATGCACAATGATAAGAACTAACAAGAGAAAGAATTTCAAAGAGAAAGATGGTAAACATATCTAAGGAAAAAATCTAATGATCATTCACAAGTTGTAGCATTTCTAATTTCCTCCAAAGGACATGGAAATAAACAATGTCTGTTCAAAAGGCCACAGAGAAATCATCTTGACCACAAAAATTGAGTTGATGATTGGAGTTAGTTTATCAAACATAATTGAAGAGACCATCTATTGATAATTCCTTTTTTGCAACAAAACTCGAGCTTCAAGGAACATCTAATCAAGCATATGAAGGCATATGTTATTAAAGTATATTAGGCAGCTTATACAAGAAACACTAACATCTTTATTTTTTGTTTTCCCTGTCAATTTTTTTGCCTCAAACATATCTATATATATATATTTTCCTTCAGGAGACTTGAATAACAACAGGACAATTTCCCATACAAGAAAAAAGGAAATACCATAAAAACAACTTCCATTAATGTTATAAAGATCAAAATTGTATCAAAGACTAGATGTGCTAAAATTATTGAACAAAAATAAAAGGAAAATGCGTATTTGTCTACATTCATATCCGCAAGAGAGCACATTCGGGGTTGGGGGCGGCCTTACCTTGGTGTAATACCTACAACCATTTGGGCCCTCAGTGACTAGAAGCAATTTAAGATTTGGATGGAATAATTTACGGACAACAGCATCATCGTATGGATCTTCTCCTTTTGTTAGAAAAGAAATCTCTTCTTCGCTTACCTGGAAATGCAATAATTCTAGGTGATCAGATATAGGTTTTTTTTCCATCTTCAGCAGACCCCATGTATGTTTCGTAGAGAAGGGATGCAAAAATTTAGTTTTTAACCCAACATGCATATGAAATATATTGAGAGAGGGTGGCCACCTTGATAATGTCAGCTGTCTCCCAAATGCTCAAAATCCCTTCCCTTGCACTATCAAGAGAAGGCCACAACGGAAGCCTCAGGTTAGGATCATATGAAAGAACCACGCCAGCATCCTTTGCAGCTTTAGCTGCAGCAATGTGCGCTGACCTGCATGGTTCGGTTATAAGACTTATAGAACCATAATGGAAGATTTTGGCCTGCACAGAATTTAGAAAAGCATAGATGTTGAATAAATCCAATGAGTTAAACAAGGAAACAAAAGAAGAGTAAAATGACAAACTAAAAAAATGAACGGCTGAGGCATATTGGTGGATCTGGCAAAATAGATTGTTTAACGAGCATTCCAATTGTTCATTGTAAATTATGTGTAACAAAGTGATGAGTGAAGTACAACAATTTTGAAACCAGCCACTAAATAAAGTTCCAGTGAACTGCCTAGTTCTAGTCGCTATGCCTACAGATTTGTTATTCTATTCATTTGTTATTTTATTTATTTCATGATTTATAATTTTTGCTTTACTTAATTACCACTATAGGAACTCTTTCCTACCTTTTTAATTAAATTAAAATCAAGTTCAGCTTCTTGTAGCAGCATATCGGCACTGGGATTACGATAGAACATGAACTCACGCTCACCATCACTCCTTAGTGTAACAAATGCTAAAGCAGTCCGTGCGCCAGGATCAAAACGCATCCCTTCATTATTCACATTATTCTCCTTCAGTATATCAGCAAGCATGTATCCAAATTCATCTTCACCAACCTGTCCACATTGCAAAAAAATTATTAACAACATGAGAAGATAGAGATGAGAAATAGACATATCTCTCTTGTTGTTTTCTTGGAAACATTTTATGCTGCATGGTGGATCAGCATAGAAATTAAAAAAAAAAATGAGACCATGGATTTTAGGATCAAGACAAAATAATTGACTCCTATTTGTTTTTCCTCCCATGAGACACGAGTTAGGCAAAGAAAATAACAAGGCTATTTCATCAAATCAAGACAGATAGTGATGGTTTCTGATTATGGATAGAGTCATATAAGCTCCAACGGCAGTTTAGCTTCCAGTTACTGATGGGCATAACGTGAGCATTAAAGAGATAGTTGCAGTTTTAGTGTTTTTTTATTCAAAATTAAGCAATATGCTTACATAGATGAATCTAGGGATACTTATAACAGTTAAATTCGTATGCTGATCAGTTAGGTAATAATCTTGAGGAACTCCTAAACTAATTTCTGGATGTTAGAACAATATTTGCATCCTAAATGCGGGATTAAAGTAATGGAACAGGTATGATAAAACTTCATACTTATATCCTATCAAGAGAAACCAATCTCAAGAAGCAATAAATGCATCTCAGATTCTCAGTTTCTAGCATTTTTATTTGGCTTGGAAGTTGTTCCCTAACTACAAAGCCAAGAGACATAAAATTCCAATCACCCAGTACAACTTATATTTGATGAATGAGTAGGTCAACTACTTCAATACCCGGGAATTAGACACATTCCTTGTTATTTGAAATTCAAAGTTTTAAGCCCAACATAGAACAGGTTAAGATAACCTGCAAAATTTTTCCCAATAAGGACTCGGTTTTTACTAATTTTTAAATCTCAAATGACATGAACTGAGAGCAGCAGGATGAAGCAGGATAATTCTAATTTGGATAAGACACTATAGTCAATGCCTTATTTGGTTCATATAGGCACTAAATATCCTTAATAGATTGTTTTGGAAGAACAAAGAACTAAGCACCATGGATTACCATGAAAGCCAACTTAATTGTATACAATTATGATGGGTATTCTCAAACTTATCAACAATGGCACAGCTCCATACAGTTGGGTAAGACAATCAATATCAACAGAAGAAAGACTGGACTAGTTCTATATGAAGCATACAGTTCAAGCCAAAAGAACAAACTATAATAGAAAGCAAAAAAGAAACGTGGCCTAATTAGGCAGTAAAAATGATATGTGAGGATTAATGACATGACCAATCCTGGTCAATGATTGAAATACTTCTTTCAGGAAACAGACAAAAATAAGTAAGATCAATAACTATTATATGTGCAAGATTTTGAAAGATAATAATGAGCTCCAAACTGAAACACCCGAATTCTCCATCTGAGCCTTCATAAAAAGGTTAATATAAGATTGATGGACTGCAATCTCTCCCAAGGTTACAGTAAAAAGTCACAAAGTGGTAAACAGTAACTAGGGATTACATCTGGGAAAGATCTGTCTAATTAATTCTCAAAATTTATGGATGGAAGTTATATTGATAAAAACATCATTCTTAACTTTGAAAAGCAACCAAGAATTTTCATATGGAAAATAAAAAAGGAAGCACCTTTATTTTCTTTCCTCTTTGAGCACAAGTATGACTTAGAATCAAATTAAGGTCGAAATCACAAAATTGTAATCCGATAATAGATATGTTAGGCATCAGAAGAACATAAAGGCCTATGACTTCCTTTGAAGACTAGAAGGGAAATATAATATTTTGGGGAGAAACGCATTAAAAACCTTAAGTTTGCACAAATTGGCAACTGAACCTTAACATTTTAGTTTGAACAAATTAAACTCTGAAATTTATAAATTAAAACAAGCCGAACCCTGTGTTCTACTTGAGATATTTAATTAAATATACTAGTGTTGTGTTGGCAGAATTATGCAATTCCAAATTCGATGGTGGCTATAGTAGTTGTAGAAACATGTCAAACTCTCTCTGTGGCAAATAATTGAAGACAGGGTTGGTCAGAAACTATAGCTGAGGAAGAGAAAAGTCTGAACAGTCGGTCATCAGCCAAACCACCACTAAAGGTGGTCAAATTTTCCAGTTTAAATTATAAGAGTTTAATTAGTAAACTTGAAGTTTAATTGTTCAACTTAGAACATAAACTTTAATTCTTCTATTTTTGTAAACCTTGAGGTTCCTAACAGCTTCTTTTTCAATTTTTGAAACTCTTTAGCTGATGACAGAGTCAGCTTTGCATGACAGAATCTTGTATGTTAAAGGACGGTTTGCTGGAGTCTGATATGCTAACAGACAAAAACATTCTATTTCTTTTTTCACTAACAGAATTAACGTTTCAGACATTTTGGAGCGCTAAAGCTGGTTCTGAATTTTATGGGGATTCTCCCTGCTCATCAATATATCAAAAGGTCTGTAAACAAGACCTATTGATTGCTGAAACGATGAGTGGTGGAAACCTAATTCCATCAAATCCCATGTCTTCAATTTCATAAAAAGAAAATTGCAAACCATGAACTACAACAAATTGAAGGAGTACATTCTTACCTTTCCAATAAAAGCTGATGAGCCACCAAGACGAGCAATGCCGACGGCAACATTAGCAGGTGCACCTCCTGGAGCCTTCTTAAATGCAGGTGCCTCAGCCAAAGAAACTCCACTTGTAGTAGGTACAAAATCAATCAGCATCTCTCCAAAACAGACCACAAGGGAGGATTCATTTGTTCCAGGAACTGCATCACCTGAAAGTGCTTTTCCTAATATATACACAAGTCAAGAGAAAAAGAAAAGGATCAAGAACATAAGGTGAATAGAAAGAAGAATGCATAAGCTCCAATGACAGTTGTTCGAGGGGAGATGCTTCCTTGTTATGGTTATTATTACTTATTATTTCCATGTCACTGATTAGGCTTCACCTCAGAACAACAACACTTTAAATAAATCAATGTTAACCAAGAATAAAAGACCTAACAAAGACAAAGTTCACTCCTTCCTGCTAACAGTAAAGATAACTAACCTCAATTTGTATATATTTTGGGTATTTCTTAATACAAACTTTGAAGACTTCTAAGATGTCAACATCATACCAAGATATGATCTCTTTTCTGCTCTAAGGCAATATCTACGGATTCTTGAAGTTTCAGCGTTATTGGCGTCAGCAACAGCATATACACTGTATTATTAAACTAAAACTGAAAAATACTTCAAATTTAGAAGTAAGAGGACTACATGAAACTACCGAGACTACTTATCGAAATATAGGCCAATTTGGAACTAAGAAAACAATGCAGTCAATTCTAATAATACTATTGAAATAGAGTGGAAATTAGAGAAGTAATTTATACTGGAAAACTATTATATGTATGTGTAGAATGAGAAGTTAGATACAAATGCAGAACAAAAAAAAAATCAGTTCTGCAAAATTATAGTAATCAAGAAGAACAGAAGCGGATTATTCAATTCCTGTGGATTCGCAAAAGAGTAAGGAAAGCAGAAAATCAAACTCTACAAAAATCACGATAACAATAAATCCTTAGCTTTAAACTAATCAATTTAATAATCATCGTCAAAGATGTAGAAAATGTAGGGAAAAAATTGGATACCTTTGACGTTGAATCGAGGAACGCAAACAAGCAGAGGAGAAGAGAAACCCGAAGCCTTGACTCTCACTCTCGTCTTATAACTCAGCGAGTCCCGAGACGCGGAGCACAAAGCCAAACCACTGAAACCAAAACCGCTCGCTTGGAGAGCCATCAAAAAGGGGAAACCCGCAGCTTCCACGCGAAATGTAGTCGTCTTCACTTCAACTCTCCAAAAGAGAAGACGCCAAAAGAAAAAGCACTTTTCCAAAACCACTTTCTTTCTGGAATTCGGAAAAGAAGTTAACAGGCGTTAAAAATAAGGGATAGGAGAGAAAGATTCGAATAAAGGAATCTGCATTGGACTGGCAGAGAAGCCGTCTATTAATCTACAGAGGAAAAGTCTTTTATATACTTTTGAAGTGAAGTTGAAGAGCTTTATAGTGATAGAATGGAGAAAGTGAGTTGAGCGGAGAGAGTGAGGAGGTGACGAGTCTGGTTTTTGTCAGTTTATTGCTGAAGATGAGGAAGACGACGAAGACGAAGATGGAGGAGGTTTGATTTGTAAGGGCCTTTTTGGAATTTCACTTTATTGGCTCAATTATTTTGTTCTTATTACATTTTTAATTAAATATGTTCTGTAAGTTATTAATAAAGTTTATTTTTTTAAATGATAATACATAATATAATTTTAATTAAATCTTAGTTATAGATCATATGTTAAATTCTTTCTTCTTATTTATGAACTCTTAAATTCATTTTCTACGTGTACTTTGAAAATAAATAATTCGTTAAATTATAAAGTAATTTTATAAAATATAATTTAAAATGAATTAACAAATATTAGTACTTAATAAAATAAGAATAAATTAATATCGACTTTTATTATAATAATTTATTTTTAGTATAAATTATTTACGGTTTAAATATGAATTTTTTCTAAATTAGATATTACATAAGTTATAACTAAGATTCATTGACTTTATAGTACATTTAAAAAAAATTAAATTAATTATATTTTTATAAATCATTCAATATAGTTAAATTGTATAATATACCGTACGTTCTTAAAATATCTTAAATTAAATTTTTTTTTATATTTTTTATTATTACTATGCTATATCAATATTCTGTTAAAATTATAATTACCTTACGATAATTGAAATAAGATCTTCGTACGATTAATTTTGATTTATTCTCAGTGTAAAACATTAGTGTTTGCAACTTAAATTGCACTTTTTTAAAAATAATATAGCTCTAACTTGATACTATATATAGTTATTATGATTTAATATTTTATAAGTAGACTTTAGAATAACTTATTTCATCGTATTTTGTAAAATATGAATAATAATTTAACAACTACAATACTAATTTTTTATGGAAATGTTCAATTTCTATTTGTATCATATAGTTTAATCTCTAGGATTCTAACGAAATGATAAATTTTTTAAAAAACAGAAAAATAATAAAGGGAAAGTGTTATTCTTATAATATTCTATAAATATTTTGTTATCATTTTCATTTGATACATAAATATTTCTTTAGCTCTCGTATTGTAACGGTTTAGAACTTGAAAGGAAATAAATTATAAATTGAATATGGAAGTGAAATAATAACGTTAAAGTTTATATTCCCTATACAATAATTTAAAATACCCAATAAAATTACGAGAATGACATTTCTAAAAGAATAATGAATAATCAAAAAAATAAATAGAAAGTAAACAACTAAACATACTATTCGCAATCCTCTTATTGATCGAGATCTGAATATTGGTTCTTTTGATCTGAAATGGTTAATGAAATTGTGAACTACATTATCCCATAAAGAATGTCACGCTACTCACCGATACAGAAATTAAAGTTTGTAAAAATTATGAAAACAACTAATGAAACTATTAATTTAAGTAAATTTATTTATTATAAATAAAATCATATATTGTATACTTACCGTAGCGAAATTTCTAAAACTGATTTATAGAGGCAATAACACAAATAATATCATAATTTCATATTCAATTAAAAAGAATAATAATTTTTCTTTATTATCTGCCAACTGGTATCTATGGAGGTTCATAGGGATGTCTCCACTACGCGTGAACCCTTATTTAACATTTTCAAGTAACCAACCGTCCTCATACCCCGTTCTGTATGAGCACCAAAAATATCATCCTTCAATACCCCGTCCGGTATGAGGGTGAAACGGGTCGTCCCCATACCCCGTCTGATATGAGCGCCAAAATATCAATTATCGATACCCTATCCAGTATGAGGAAATGTTCACGGTAGGGTTCTCTATGCACCCGGTCCGTCCACCATCTTTCTGAATATCCATTAAGACTATCATTCATTATTTTAATTAATCAAACAATTTCTCGTTTATATTTAATTTTCAATTTCACAATCTAGTCATAAATCACGCAAAACAAGCAATACATGTAACACCCCAACCATTTTCCTTATTATTATTATTATTATTTTATTTTAATTTTTGTAATTATTATATGAATATAATGATTTATTATATAATAATATATAGTTTTAATTTAATTTAATTTATTTAAGTAGAAATAATAATAATAATAATAAGAGGCATAATTATTTAGGGATCTAATTGAAAATTTTTTTAGAAAAAATGGGTGAAAATTTGGGTCATGTGGGGTATTTTTAAAAAGAAAATTAAAAATTGGGGTTAAAATACAATTTAAAAAATTTACAACACGTCAGCAGTCTCGGCCAACTAGGACACGCTACGTGGCAGAGACGCTGACGCGGGAGGCCACGCGGAATAGAGCTATGTGGACGATCCGCGTGCGCGCGATCGAACGGCTGAGATCCGTTCTCGCGCGCACGGACGGCCCAGATAAAAAACGTGCACGGACAGCCCAGATTGCACGTGCACGGACGGTCCAGATTGAATCGCGCACGGACGGCCCAGATTGTATAGCATTGAACGGCCCAAATTCATTTCGTATTTAATTGCGATCAGATGGTCCAGATTGAATTGCGATGGACGGCTCAGATTAAAAGCGGATGGTTATAAATAATCTTATCCGCACCCAAACCCTAACTCTAGCCTTCAGAGCTTCTCGCTAGAGAAGACAGCCCAGCCGTCGGGGAGCCGACCGCTGCCACCCGCTGCCGCACCGGAGTAATTTATGGCTGCTAAACGAGGTAAAATTTCTCCTATTGGCTCAGAATTCGATACTGAACCCACCTATGGCCAAATCAGAGTAAAAACACCAGCTAATTGGCTGAAAAATGCCGCCAAAGTCCAACGGCGCCGCCGCGGGCTTTCTCGATTTTTGTCTTCGATGAGGTCCTTTCTGATTCTCGTTCAATGTAATTTTTCTACCATTATGACCACCGTTCCCTCCTTTACAAGTTGACTGGAGCAAAACACCAAATTGCGACGTGAGTTGGATGAGCCGCTCAATATTTTAAAAACTCAAATAATTAATTCCAATATTTGATTTTGCTAAAACAAAAAATCCAAATTATAAAAAAAAAAACTCAATGGAAAACAATCAATACTTAAATTTATTACAATTTTGAAATACAACGTATTTGTCCTCATTTATTTATTTTTTCCTATTCACAATAATTAGTATAGAGTAAATTTAATTATATTTTATCATTATTTAGATACATACTGTTTTTATATTGTTTCTTATTTGTTCATTATTATTAACATTTGATGTTATACCGATATATCAATAATAATCAATTGTTAAAATTATAGTAATTATAATAATCAAGATAGTAACAAAATTTATATTTTATTTAAATTTATATTAAATTATTACATAAAGTGAAGACAAATGTGATATAAGTAGATATTGTCAGGTTTTAAATTTATTGTGTGAACTTATATGTGTAAATTATTATGCATCAAAAGCTATCAGATTAATTGGTCACGGTTAGAAGTGATCCGATACGGTTAAAGACGTATTAAATTTTAATGCATTAAATTAAAGTATGAGTTTTATTTTACGCGAAGATACCAAATATGTAATTCATAATTTTGTGATAATCAAATTAAGAATATAAAAAATTTACAGGAATGATTTGCCTATAAATAGATAGTTATAGTCTCCAAATTATATATATAATTTTTTTTATTATGATATCTCATCATCATAAATAAAGAGAGTGTGAAAATTTAAAAAATTACGTATTAATTTAAAAGATTTATGTAAATTTATTCAACTGTAAATTTATTTACAATTCTAATAAATATTACATAAATAAATTTTGTATATAAATTAAAAAAAAAAGAAGCTGCATATACTGTATTTTCTCTCTTTAAAAATATCTGGATTGACTGCCATAATTAATTATTAATAAATCTCCAGAAAAATAGGAAACCAGATCTTAATTATAATTCCTAATTTGTTTCGGCGCATGATTAAATAAACGCGTGACAGGTAAGCGTCGTGTTCATTACTCGTGATGGTCCTGCACCTGCAGAGTATCACGTACCGAAGCGCGTGATGCGGTTTCTTGTCACGTCTCAGTACTTGCATCCACGGCATTCTTAACTTCCACTTTCCTCGAAACAAAACCCAACTGAAAAGAAAACTATCTTACTGGTTCGTGCAAAGAGTCGTAATCTCGTGCAACAATTCTCATTATAGTCTCACACGTGTCGACATCTCATTGGTTGGAAAATATTATTTTTTAAATATATTAATTGTTAATTGGGTACAATTTGCTAAAAAGTAAACTCCTGCTCGCCAGCATTTGGCAAATTGTATTAATTAAGTTTTAGCGCGTTGAATACGCGTGAAGAGTCTACTATAAGTACATCAGCGGAGAGAGATTCACAGAGAAAAACCAACAATGGCGAGGAAAGCGAACTCTACTGCTTGTTGCTTGGGGTCTATGGATGATATCAGAAAGGTTTTTAACAAGTTTGACAAGAATGGAGACGGAAAGATTTCCGGCGACGAGTTGCGAGAAATCCTCCTTGCGCTCGGCTCGGGAGCCACCGTTGAGGAGGTGGCTCGAATGATGCGAGAGTTGGACAAAGACGGCGATGGCTACATCGATCTCGACGAGTTCACCGCCGAGTTTCAGCGAGCCGAAGTGGCCGCCGGAGAGGACGGCGCTGATCAGTCTGTGGCGAGCAATAAGGAACTTAAGGATGCGTTCGACCTGTATGATATCGACGGTAACGGACTGATCTCTGCTAGCGAGCTTCACTCCGTTCTGAAAAAGCTCGGCGAGAGTTGTAGCCTTCGCGACTGCAAAAAGATGATCAGCCAGGTCGACAAAGACGGAGACGGTCATGTAAACTTTGAGGAGTTCAAGAAGATGATGAGCAACAGTCCGTGATTGGCTCCATTACACGGTTAGGATTTTAATTAACGTAGATTTTAGTTACTCTCTGTATAGATTCGCAATGGCTTCAGTATTTTACCTTCGTTTTCGTTCTCTTAATTTACTATCTCCAGTACGTAGCGTACTCTAGCCCCGACTCACTCTCTAGGAACTGGAAACAGCAAAACCACGACTGGAATTAGGTTTTTCTTTTCTTTTTCACTAAATTGAATTTACTTGGTAATTCCTATTAATTCTTAAGTTCGACGAGAAGCCTGTGGAAACTTTTTGGGGGAAATTCGGTTTGACGATAGAACGAGACTGTTGAGTCGGGAACAATGTCGAGTGCCGTTAGATTTAGTCAAAGTAATTAGGATCAACGGCGTAGGTTCAATCGGCCGACTCTTAACAGTAGATGCGCATTGTACGGTAGTGATGAATACTTTTTGACGCATAATTGGTTTATTTTTTTGGAATTGAATTTAACTATCTATATAATATGACAAAAATTATATTATTTATAATAATAATAATAATAGAACTTAGTTCATTATAAAATTAATTAATTAATTAATCAAAATTAAATCATATTCTGACCTTTCTTAAAAACAAAAACAACAGTAATTAATTGTTTTAGAGAAGTCTCTTTCACTAATCTTAGTAATTAAAGTAAGCTTTACGAAACGGTAAGGACTTAAAAATTGAAGAGACGCGGTTTTTGGTTGAATGATTAGTGGGGGGGAGTAGTTATGAATTTGAGAAACGAGTGAGTGACTTGAAGGTATGGCGTAGGGTCACATGTCTCATACGAGCTGCCCCTTTTTTTATACGTTGTTTATTTTTTCAAGTAGTCAAAAAACAAATTTTTTAGAGATAAACGACATCGTTTTGCGTAAAAAGACTTTTGTAAGAAGAGACTGAATTTTGTTTAAAGAATTCTAGCGACGAATAATACTTGTCCAAATGCCGGGCTCAAAAGACATACTCCCGCATCAACCTTCGCCGCCCATAACTGCCTTCACGACATATATTTACACACACACATATATACATATACCCACATATAGTTTGAGAATCAAGAACGGGTATGCTTGCAAAATGTGAATCACGAAAGAATTTGCGAGCAAAATACATCATAATATATCGACAAAGTTTAATTATGTTAAACTATTTTAGTTTATGTAATTTCAACATGAACAAATATTCAAATAGGAGATCACTAGTTTTGGTACTATGGAGAATACAACTAATTTTTCCAAAAATTTTAGGTCAGTCTATTATCTATATACATAAACGTAATATGAAAAAAATAAGAACGTAATTATATATATATTATATTAAGTAATGGTGATTGTTTAAATTAAAATAAATAATCAATTACCACAACAAGTCATTAATAAATTAATTTAATTAATCTTTCAGAAGAACACGCAAGTGAGAAAGTCCAGCCTAATTAATCCCCCTTCCCAACCCCCTCCAAATTCACATTAAAGAGGCTAAACGGCGTCGTATAAGCTAATTCAAAAGGAAGCGCAGGCACCTTCTTTTCAAATTCATGTTTCCTGCGCATTCGTAAGCAAACAGTGGCGGATATACCATCCTATTTTCAAATTGAACTTTTCGTAGAGTATTCTGTGTGTTTTGAGGTCGTCAATGGCGTGAGAAAATTGAAATTCAAGTCAGACTATTGATATGATTTTTTATTCTGTTAAATCAATACAACTTATTTGAACCATTCATTCTCAGGGAAAATCAAACATAATAAGGATTGTGTGTGAATCTTTTCAGTTCCAGTGTGAAATTATATCGCTCACCAGATTTTCTTGCCCGAGAAAATCTCCCATTACGCTTGCGGTTCAGCTCGATTTATGCACGATTCTTCTCTGATTTTCCTCTTCTACCGTCGACTTCGGGATGCTAGCTCCGCATAGTCGGATCCTTCTCCAATCGCGTGCTTCCGCCACTACATGTTGCTCTCCAACGATTTTGTATCGAACACACACACGCTCTCTCTCTACAGAAAAAGATGAACAGTCGAAGAGCTTATTTTGTATTTAAGGCCAATTAAAAACCCCCTTAAACACAGTAATTTGTACAGACAATGTGGATCTGGTACTAAGCCCACAAACTGGCAATACAGAATTGTGAAACCCATTTTCCAGCCCATAGATTTTCGTACATTCAAACCCATTTTACAAGCCCACATTTTACAGGCCCAGGATCAAATATGATACCATTTTTATGCAACTGCCGGTTGAGTCACACCACAAAGAAATTAAAAAAAGTTACAGTAATTTCTTTAATTTAATCTCAAATCTTAAACCCAAATCTCCCAACTCTTTTTGCTTGTTTATTTTGCTTGTTTTTTAGATTTCTTGGATGCGGTATCATATAAAAATATATACCAAAATTAAATTTTGGATTGCTCCTATGTTTGACTTAATTAGATGTATAATATGCAAGCAAGAAGCTAAAAAAAAGTCAAATAGATTCCAATAGCTTGGTCTATATATGTAAATGATTCCTTCCAGAACATATATATACCCAAGTAATTATGGTGATTTTATATATATTTGAATCCCTATAATTAGATGTATAATGTATAGTAGGTAGTCAAAATTTTAAGTTGATATGTAAAATGAGAACATGTGATTGACGCAAATGTTGGTGAAGATCAGTTTGTGAAGCACCAGCATGTTGTTTGCAAAGAGAATCATCTTCCCTTCCCAAGTATGCCGCCATTGCCGTCCTTGCAAGCTTGTGATTCTCTCGGCCCTGCAGCTTCGAGTACACAGTCATTAGTTAAGAAAACAAATTGTCTTGGTTGATATGAAAAGCCGGACAATTCTGACTGGGATGATTCAATGAGGGACAATTCTGTTCTATCAGGAGAACAATTGCATTCCAGTTGTCGGCCATGCGTGTTTGTCTGGGAGTTGTGGGATGAGTTGAAATGCTGATTGGGACCTTTCGTTGATCTAGACAAGTTGACACACTTGTCTTCTTGAGTCACTGTTGACAGTTGTTCTTCACATCCTTCACGTGTTTCTTAACCTAACTTCACTTAAAGAAATCTCTGTTGAAAAAAAAATTTTAAGAGATAAGATAAACTTATATAAAACTTTGTTGGAAATGAGAAGAAGAATGATAGATTAATAGAAAAATTCAATGTTTTTTATAACTATCACCACAAATCTTGAAATACATGAATATATATAAGTATTAATATAATTTTTAAAATTTTAAAAATATAAATTATTATTAAATTTAATTCATAAATTATAATTAAGTATAATATATAAACTACTTAAGAAAACTTAAAAAATTTATTAACGAATATATTTATAATTTATATTTAACTTAATTTTTTAACAAAAGAAAAAGTTTAGATATTGAAATTTACAAATTATTATTTTCGTGGACTTAGAACTCTACATGGGTAAGTCTCTTCAATATCTAACTCACACAAGACCAACTATATCGTTTATTATCAACAAATTTAGTCAATTCATACAAAAAAACTTTGAAAATAGTTCTCCAATACCTAAAAAGAATAACCGATATTGGTCTCCATATTAAACCTAGTGACAGACTAAACATTGTTAAGTATTCGAATGCTGACTGAGCCTTCTAGAAGGATGATCGATGCTCGACCTCTAACTACGGCATCTATCTTGGAGAAACTTTGATCTTTTGGAGTTCTAAGAAGTAGAATATTGTATCAAGGTCAAGTGTGGAATCTGAATACAGGGCCTGACCCTTCTTGCTTGTGAAATCATCTGGCTGGAGTCCTTACTCAAAAGAGATAAGCATAATTACTACACAAACTCTGATAGCTTGGTGCGATAATATGAGTGTCACGGCTCTTGCAAGCAATTCTGTTTTCCATTCGCGAACCAAACACATTGAAGTGGACATTCATTTCGTTCCCATAAAGTGACAAAAGGAGCTATAGATATTAGATACGTACTCTCGTGCGATCAGGCCGCGGATTGCTTCACCAAAGCTCTATCACAAACACGATTAAGTATTTCAGGAAATGTTTGAGGGGGAATGTAAAGAACAATCGGCAACAGTCGTCTCAAGTCGATAAGTGTTCCAACTTGTCCAGATCAGCGGGAAGTTCCGGTCAGCATCAGCATGCAGACTCATCCCACAGCCCGCTGACAAACACGCATGGCCGACAACTGGAATGCAATCGTCCTCCAGCTTAGAATAGAATCGTCCCTCTCTGAAAACCATTAAAGTTGCATGTGCCTTCTGCTTGTTCTGCATTGACAATCTGTTGTCCTTTGTGTTGCTCTTGTTTTGTCTGTAAAGAAGTGAAGAGCTCTATAAATGTATCCTCACTATTAACCAAGCGATAAAATGAATGAATATCAAATTTGCTGTGAATTGTCCAGCTTTCATACATAACCAAAACAATCTGCTTTCTTTACTCACCGATCTCCCTCGCTGCAGGATTCTCTGCGTTGTTCAGTAGCTCCTGGTTAACTTTTCCCAGTGCTTGCTTCTCGGCGTAACACTATAGACAGAAATAAAGGCCCACGTTATAATATATATATATATATATATATGTAAATCATATATGTACTTACGTGTGTTTTTGTTTGTGTATACCTATCATTGTCAAATATGAGAAAGAGAAACCCTACAGGTCTTTAAACAAAAAGCAGAAATCAAATACAAAACAGATGAGGCCATGCATGCAACATTTCATCTACATATAGAATAAATATATGTATGTATATATGTATGTACTTACTTGAGGGAATAGAGAGATTCTTTTGCGAGAATCAGAGATGAGAACGTTGGAAATGGATGTGATTTTTCTGTGGAAAAATGCAAGAATTTGCTATAGCATCTGAGAGTTGCTTCATTGACTTTCCACCCTCGAACTGGATACTTCAACAGCTCTAAAAGGCTGGCGTTTTCTATATCATGCACCAATGCTAGTGTATTTATTCTTCTGGTTGGAGCTTCCTCAACTGGCAATAGCAATGCTAAGTAATATGCCTGCAACAAATATTATATATATATATGTATAACACAATCATTAATTAGAATTAGTAAAAGAATATTGTCCAAGGTCAATCTAATCTCACATATATATATAATCACTTACCTGGAAGTGGAGATGGTTAATGGTGGCAAGTGCACCCAAGCTGTTGTAACCCAGTTGTAAAGAAAGGATCATTAGTTTCTTTGGCCATGTAACAAGCAAAAAGCTCTCAGGATCAATCTTTGAGGCATGCTGTCAATAACCTTGGTATCAACTGTTGGAAAATTTTAAAAGATATACTTATTCTAAATAATATTTTATTGAAAATAAAAGAAGAAGAAAAAGAGACTAACAGAAAGAGTAAGGGTTAAATCAAAACAAGCATAAGACCGATGGACATCGTGAAAAGTATATAGGGTTAGCTATTATAAGCACATTAATGGCGACAACGTTAAAAGAGTTGGAATCTGGTGCAAGAAGATTCCTCAAACCCGAAAAGCACTTCTTCTTGTCCAAGTTCGGTGAAGTTGAACTTGGCATCGTCGAAGGGCTGAAGCCCTCGGTCTATTCTGAACTCCGTCGGTCGCTTCCTCAGGTGGTGACCTTTGTTGAGCTGACCCACGAAACCCTACTATCCTGGAATAATCTTTGTTTCGAAAGAAGTGACATCATATTGGAAAAGGCCTCTTCTCATTCGATCCTCCCGCTGACCCATTAACAGATTGTGCAAGAACGCTCTGTTAGGCTGCTCTTCGCCTGAGTTGAAGATCATCAACGTCGTCGTTTCACCTTTCTCCCTTTTTTCTTTGTTGAATGAGTATAGACGTTGGTTTGTTTTTGTTTATGGAAAAGTTTAAAAATCCAAGCATGGATGTATTCTTTTTAGAGGGTTAAAGCCGTTTCCATATTTCCTGGACGATTCTCAAAACGACGTCGGTTCGAATTGAAAATAGAGAATATACCAACAGGGCAAACAGCAGTTGCAGAGGCAATCACGCCCGCAGCTTCTGGTTTTCCAGAAGTGATATCCTCCTCCTGGTAACTCGAAACGTAATAGGAACCCTTTTGATCGTTAGCACAGTCTGATGCTAAGTATATACATATATACATATATATATGTATATTGCACGTGAATATCTTTGTGTGAATACATGCATGCGAGCTCTGATCATGTGTGTCTAAAAACAAATGAGTGAGTATCAGAAATCTGGAAGGAAATGTTATGGCGAATGGTGGATAGTCAAAGGAGAAGGTGGTTGCAGGATTTGTAGGTAATAAAATTGGTGGGTGTCATTTTTCTCTTGACTTTTCAGTCTCCTTCTCCATCGTATATTCCCTCGATTCATATATATATATATATATATATATATATATACTTATTTTTTTTGGGACAAATAAGCAATACTAAACTGTTGAATCATCTCATAAATCAACTGCAGAAATCAGTATCATCTAAACCCATGATTGCATGATTCTAACAGTCTGCAAAACATGCATGAACAAAGTTCGTCTGCTACTAAAGATTTATGGAACTAAGGACTATGCTCATAACCTAATTAGAATCTCAACTAAAATTATGTAACGGTTTGGAACATCTTATTTACAAAAAAATTATATTACTACATTAAACACCATTAAATAAAATAAGTATAAACTGAGATACTAACGAGTAATATAGTTTAACCATCTCGAGAATAATTTTCTCGAAGAAACATTCATAACCCAAATATTCTTCCAAAATTTTGTTCTATTTTCCATTAATTGTTATTATTACGGTTAATTTAAAGTAAGCATTGTTGTTAGAAATTATATATTTGCATATTACTTCGTTGAAAATTGGTAAGCAGAACCATAGAAGTGAGAAAGATAAAAGCACGTTCCAATACATGAAAATATTGTAAGCAGAAATCTTTTAAATGTTAAAAGTTGATTCTCGCAATATTATATGTTTAAATTTATTAAATAAATTTATTTAATTTATATATCTAATAAACATAATATATAAATTACTACTTAAAAGTATCACAATACAACTATAATACTATAAGTCTGTATCCGTTGATTATAACTTCACTAAATACCCGGTAGTATACATAAATACTATATCCAAAAATTAACATTAGATATAGTAATAACAACGGGACGGGTTCAAAACAGGTTTTATTAAACCCGAATTTAGAGTGGATACATTTTTTTTTTCATTTTTTTAAACTACGTTTGGTTTGTGAATTATTTGAATCTAAAATTGACTTTTTTATTTTTATATTAATGTAAATATAATTATATATATTTATAAGAAAAATTAAAAATATATATAATAATATATATTAATTATATTTATCAATATTAATATAATTAATTTTTAATGTAATGTATTATATTTAATATAAATATATAAAAGTAATATCTATATGTATATAATTGATCGAATCTAAATGAGTTCTAAAAAGTCAAATTTGAAATTGCCCCGAACCGATCACTTTTCACACCAATTTAAATTTAACTTGAACTAAATCCACACATTAATTAAAGAAGAAATACAAAGGATCATATTCATACACACACATATATATATATATATATATTTTAAAACAATATGTAATTTTTAATTTGGTGGTAAGTAGAATATCATAATCTAGTCATGTAAACTTAGTGCATGTTGACAAATGCCACATAGTGGACCAATTTTCCACACGTCCCGAGCATAATCACATCTCTTGAAAAGATGATCCACCTATTAATCTTATTTAATTAATCTTAATTAACATGTTTGCCTATAATCACAAATTAAATTATTTAATCTCAATTTTCACCGAGTCGGGACAAGTACTTTAATAATTGATACCGAATAAGGACATCATAATATTTTAATTTTTTAAATTTACTTTTAAATAGAATATAATTTATAATATTTAATTTAATAAAATAAAAAATTTAATTTACTAATGTATTAATAAATTTATTACGATCAAATTAACTAAATCTCAATTAACTTATTATATTTCTTAACGAATATAATATTTTATAATTAGTAAATTTTTTGTAATTAATTTAAACATAATAGATTAAAAATTTGATAAATATATATATATATAGAAAATAAAATATGACAGGTTGAGTTTAATCAATTTATCATGAAAGTACATCCAACAATTATGGACGAACATGACCGGTTGATTTAGCCACCATAATTTTACATATATATTTTTAAAAAATATATTAGAAATTCGACATAATATAAATAAATAAATATATATGTATATAACATGATTGGTTGAGTTGGATCAATTTATTTTGAAAGTACGCAAAGATGTCCCAACAATGATTTTAAGGCAAAATATTCCAATTTTAGTAATTTAATTAGATATTTTAATTGAAGGATTATGTTTAATCTAAGAATATTTCACCTCTTAATTAACTTATTATATATATACACTTGTATCAATATATTAGTTTTTCAACATTATGCGTGTGTTTTTTTTCCTTTGTTAAAATATATAAGTTAATATAATTATTTAATTAATAAATTTATAAATTTCTATTAAAAAATATAATATTAGCAACAATGTGTAATCAATAAAAATATTATATATGAAGTATATAATGAATTTTGAATATATATTTTTTTTTGTAAAAATATATAACAGCATGATATTATTATTCTAATAATAATTGACATATGTATATTCAAAAAATAATTACTAAACATATGAAAAACAATATAACCAATGTATATATTAATTAAATTAATTATATAATTGATTAAATTAATCAAAATGACACACACACACACACAAACAATTAAATTAATTATATGTCATGAATAAATTATAATCATTCAGTCATATTAATTTAATACATATACTAAAATAATTAAATTCATTTTAAAAATAATTAATGTTTTTAATGATGTGGTAAAAGTTATATATAGCTTTATGTGTATTATAAAAAATAATACCATAATTGGAGTAAGTGAAAGCTATTAACAGTTTAATTTACTTAGCAAACTTCTTACCCATTATTTTACAAAGTATATAAACTTTTTTAGTAAAAATATATATTTCATTAATTATATGATGTATATATGTATAAATTATAACTAAACATTTTGATGAGTATATATATAAAACCATATAAACTAATTCATATTCATAATCTTTTATATATAAAAAAGTATCAATTATTTAATTTTATAATAATTAATTAAAATATATAAAATTTATATTACAAATTACAACTTACATATACAAGGAGACTTATTACAGAAGATAAATTAAAACAAGTAACGAGAAATTAAAAGACAACTAACGTTAACGATAAGACAACAAATTAATATTTATAGTATCACAATGACAACGGACTACTTTCACCAAACCTAAAATAACTAATTAATTAACTAGCAATACTTAATTTTTTATTATCTCTTAAAAGTTCCAAAAATCTATATCTAAACTTGTCAAGATACGAATATTTTCTTCTTCATCTTCTTCTGTATGAACAACCGTAGGATCATCATTAATGATAATATTATCTACTTCGACGTAGTCGAAATTTTTATCAATGAAGTGATCTGAGTTAAGTTCAAAAGCACTTGTAGAGCTACTAAGTGTTATATGATCCATTTGTTTATCATCTACCAAGCTCTGCCACCATGAAATCTCGTTATCAGATTGATCAGTGGAAGCCATTAAAGGCTGGAAGTAGAGATTGTCTTGATTCAAGATAAGATGTTCCTGATTGTGATCAACGATAAAGGAAGATTTGCCTTCATGAGATACCAAGTTCTTTGAAAAAACTCGAGGCTGAGGCTTTATTGCATTCACTTTCACAACATGAAGATCTTTTCCATCATTTTTGTTAAGGAAACAATTTGAAGCTTTTTTTCGTAAATGAGTGTTCCAATAATTTTTCACATCATTAGCTGTTCTTCCAGGAAGCCTACCAGCAATCAGCGACCACCTGAATATATACAATTATATAATAATTATTTTTCTAATTTTCAATATCACCAACTAATAATTTAATTTTTCATCATATATATATATATATCCAAATATATAAACTAAATTAATTCTTTGAGACCATCTTATATAAAAAAAAATGTACTTCATGCAACTGACTAAGTGATTGAAAGGATGTATAAGAAAAAATAAAAATAACATTTTTTAAATACGTGTAGTCAAAAAATATTTTCGAAACACGCTATTTTGTTCTTTTATAATATTATAATTGACTTTTATTTTGACACTCTTATAAACTTAATTACATAGTAAATTTTGACGTAGGTTTAATTGTTGTAAAATAAAAGAAAATTTGCGATGAATTTGGTATTTCTTTTTCAGAGAGATAGTAGGGTTGGAGATAGGTGTCAAACATAAGTTGTTAATTTTACAATGAAAATCTATAAAACTCTGATAAAATTAATATACATATATGCTTATATATAAACCTATACATGCATGCTTGGGTATGTACAGTGCTTCTTCAAAATATGAGAGTCTGGGCTATTGTGTTTGTTATTAATTATTTCGATCTCTAAATTAAGTTGTTTGCTTAGCCAGTTATGTAGACAATACATCACTATCTTTCTCCAGCTTATTGCAGCTTATGTATGATATGTATATATTATATGTTTGTATCTACGGGAAGGTCCTGCTCTTGCCTGTTTCCTAGAAGCTTATGCATTCTTATCATGAGATCAACTTCATCAGCAGTGAACTTTCCTCTGTTGATATTTGGTCTGAGATAATTCAACCACCTCAACCTACAACTCTTTCTACATCTATTTAGACCTGCAACATCCAATCAATAGACCCAGATGTATATTATCTTCTTCTTATAAACACATATATAAATGCAAATGTGTAAATATATACATATACACATATATAATATAACCTGCTGCGAGTGGGACTCGATGCCATTTTCCTTCTCCATTCTTCTCAATGCACTTCCTGAGGCGATCATCTTCCTCCGCTGTCCATGCACCTTTTGTCAATTCCAAAGAAGCCGCCATACACACAAAGCTCTACGCAGTCAAGTACTATACTTGCCGTGCCACCCAACTCGACTGATATACTCACACACACACACAACATATGTATATATATAGTATATATATATATAATACAGTCCATACTATTTCAGGCTCCTATGCTCGGTGACGTGGACTCTTATATCCACACATACAGCTTATTCATTCAATAGTAATATGCCTGATCTCTTGTTCCTTTCTGATATATATATATATATATATATATATGGGAAACTATGCTTTTGTATTTGTAATTATGCGTGTATTTTTCCCCTTTTTTAAAAATATACAATAATGTAATCAATATTTATTTTATTTTGTCAATATATATATATATAAATATAAATTGCGGCCAAAGTATGTATTATCATGGTTTCTACTAATTGGTCAGACATGTTTGATAGATTTAAAAAAAAAATTATTTACTAC